GGCCCCAGCACATCTGTCCACTTTGATTCTCTACAACCCTTTAGAACTGCTTGGTGAGCCACTTTTACACAGGTCAAATATAGACTTTTCTTTTTTGTATCTCTGGAATCTTAAACGTGAGAATTGATTCCTCTTGAGGTTCTTCTTCCACCAAAGCTGAAACAATAAGATCCGGAAAAAGTTCATTGTTCTCTTCCTCCTCTTCATTGAAATTCTCTTCTCTTGGTCTCTGAAGATAAGCAGAAGGTAAAGCTGATATAATCACGTCCATTACATGTTTCATAAACCTGACGGATCTGATTCCTGTCAGATTACTCATTTCCACTGGGCTTTTCCACTCTTCATGATCTTTTCAATCCTTTATCTTTGTGCATCCAGCTCTTGCCATTGTCCTTTGAAGGCTTTTCGAAGTAAGCACTCTTGCTTGAAGTAAGGGATTATTGAAAAGAGGTTCCTCGTTTTTCCAGAAATCAGAACCAGACCAGTTCCTTTTCACCCGTAATTTTGAAGTCCATGTTTTCAGCATTGTTTTATAAAAAGCAGAAGTGTCTTTTAAGTCCATTTCTGTTAGCTTACATAGAAACAGATGTGAATCATATTTGAAAACATCAACTTTGTGTAACAGGGCTTTAGCGGTATCAGTCCAGCACTTGTTAGAGTAAAGCAACTTTTGTGCTGCTTGCAGCCTGAAAGTATGAATTCTGCTTTTAATGTCTATTAACCCTTGTCCACCTTCATTCACTGGTAAGAAAAGAATAGCAGCTTTCGTCCAATGTTGTCCAGTCCAAAAAAATCCTCTAATCTTCTTTGCAGTTCACGAATGATGTCATCTGGCGGGTCCAAGACATTCATTTTATGCCACAGTGCCGAAGCTGCTAGATTATTGGTGACCAACACTCTTCCCCTATATGATAGCTGTGGTAGCACCCAAGACAACCGGCTACACATCTTCTCCACCATTCCTTCCCAATTTTTCATCTTAAATGTTTCAGTTCCAAGATAAACCCCTAAACATTTAAACTCTTCCTTACTCCACTGAACACCACCTGGGAGCACTGGTGGATTTCTATTTTGTCCACAATAAAAGCCGTCACACTTTTCCCAGTTCACTCTAGCTGTTGAAGCATTTTCAGTGTTCCTATTAAACTGGACACATCTCTCTCATCCTTAATAAAAAATGTTACATCATCAGCATATGCAACAAACTTAATTGGTTTTTCGACTGAAATCCCTTGTAATGTTTTCTTTAGCTTGCAAAGTAGGGGTTCAATGGCCAATGAATACACATCCCTGATAGCGGGCATCCCTGTCTGATTCCCCTCAGCACTGGAACATGCCGACTCGGCCCACCACCCACTTTCAACATTACAGATGCATCATTGTACAACATTTTGATCCATGCAGTGAAACTCTGACCAATCCCAAAAGCTTCAAGCGTTTTAAATAAATAAAAATGGTTAACTCGGTCAAATGCTTTCTCTTGGTCGATCGCAAGGATGCCAACATTTTCACCATTCAAGTATGCAATATCTATTATATCTCTTACCAGAAACAAATTGTCCATTATTGTTCTATTAGTTATGCAATATGTTTGATATTCATTAACTATATGATCTAAAAAGGGCTTCAACTTATTCGAAAGACACTTTGCCAATATTTTGTAGTCTGTGCATAAAACAGCCACCTGTCTCCAATTTTTTAGCAACCCAAGATCACCTTTTTTAGGTAATAGAGATAACACTGCTCTTTTGCAACTGGTAGTCAGTTCACATTGTTGATAACAATAATTAAAAACTTCAGAAAAATCATCTTTCAGTAGATTCCAGAAATGTTTATAGAATTCAGCCGTTAGTCCGTCTAACTCCGGTGTTTTTCCAGTTGAAAGTTTCATAACAGCTTCTAACAGCTCTTGTAACTGTAGTCCAGAGTCCAGCTGTTTACTCTGCTCATCCCAAAGCTTTAATAAGTCTTTATGCAACTCTTCCATGCATCCAATATCACAGAGTCCTTCTCCGAATAAGTCCTTATAAAAACTCAGAGCAATTTTTCTCATTTCTTTTGGATCTGAAACCACATTTCCATTTCCATATTTCAAATGCATCATCATTTTTCTACCTCTTTCTTTCTTTTCTAGATGAAAAAAGAAGGAACTTGGTGCATACATTTCTCTAAAACTTGCAAAGTGATCTCTAATTAAAGCCCCTTTTGCTTTCTCATGGAATAATGTAGCTAAAGCTTCTTTTTTTTCTTCCAGCTTTCTAACTATCGCAACATCAACAATTAACTCGCTTTCAATCTGTTTGATCTCTTTTTCCAGTTCAAACACCATTATTTGATCCTGCACAAATGTGTTATATGTATAATTTTGACAAAATATTCTAATCTGTGATTTTCCTATATCCCACCACTGAACAATATCATCATAATTGCTTTTTTGCTTTTTCCACTCCATCCAAAAAACATTAAACTTTTCACAAAAAAGTACATCTTGTATCAATTTCACATTGAAATGCCAATAATAGCTATGACTTTGTGACTTTATAACATTTATTTCAATTATACATAAATGATGATCAGAGAACCCATTTGGACAAATTGTTGATTTTAAAATTCTATTACCTTTACTCTTATTAACATAAAATCGATCTAATCTGGCAGAAGTTATACGATCATGAGAAACCTTTACCCACGTATATTGTTTTACTGTGGGGTGTTGCTGTCTCCATACATCAACTAAATCAGATTTACTAATGACTTCTTGTAGAAATTTAGCAGAAGAAGGATGAGGTTCTTCACTATTTCTATCTAAGGTAAACTTTTCTGTACAGTTCCAGTCACCCCCTAACACCAACCATACATTTTCATCACAATTTTTCTTTAAAAACTCAATATTACTAAATAAAACAATAAAACTTTTTAAATATATGTATCTATATTTGAAAACAAACAAAAGCATTTACACTTGCCGCTTCAACAGCCAAAATTCTTCCTCTTTCTATTTCATTAACAGACACATTACTTATATTAATTGTCTTTGATAATAAAATCGCAACTCCTCCACTAACATTTGTACTGTGACTCATATACAAATCACTTCTCCACTCCATTTCCCATTCCACTTCATTTTTGACGTCACTATGTGTCTCTTGTAGAAATGTAAGATCAATATTTTTATTTTGGATGTATTCATTTAAACATGCTCTTTTCTTGCCATCTCTTCCCCCATTGATATTAATAGATCCTATTCTACGGCTCTCCATGAAAAAGAGGACAGAAAAAGGGAAAGAGAGATCAAGATAAAAAGAGACAGATTATTCACCATTTGTGCTTCCTTCATAAATAAACTATAAAGAGTTTAAGAACTTTTTCTTTTCTCAGATTCGTTGCCATTTTTTTCAATCGGAATCTTTTTTTCCTGCTCAACTCTTCATAACCAACAGTCTTTTGAATCTTAATCACTGAAGCCAAAAACTTTTTCACTTCAGGAAAAAATCCCTTTACTTCTACCTTTTTCCCAAAGGTTTCGTCAAGGAAATCATTCATTTCCTTTCCAGTATAACTGATCTTCATCATAATTAGAGGGAAAATCTGACATTTCAGAAAGACAATCATCCTCAACCAAGTTTTCAGCTACATCAGTGTTCTCAGAGAGCTGAGACAGAGGTAGGCCTTTATCATCCAATCGATTCTCAACAACATTTACATCTACATCAACCGAACTTTCAAGATTAGCTTTCTTTGCGTCACTTATCCCTGCCTCTTCAAAAATCCTCTTTTTCCCTCCATCGCATTTTCTACTTTTTTCCCTAATTTTTTCCCTCCTAATTGCTTTTGGCCTACATCTTCAGTTGGTTCATCTTGTTCATGTCTACTCGATTCATTCTGTTCCTTGTCGGGTTTATTATCTGTCTCTGTTTGTTCACTTTCATCTGCAGTTTCTACTTCACCCTCGAGCACCTGTTCACTTTCATTTGTTTTGCTGATACCGTCTTCAGTGTGTCTTATTTGTTTATGCCCGACATTACCACACTTGAAACATTTCAAATGGTTGGTGTTCGCATAGATCATGTACGATTTGTCCTCATGTTTGACCCGAAACGAGATTTCTAACGTCAGAGATTCTAAAACCATAAATACCTGCCGCCTAAAAGACAGCACATGTTTTAAAGCTTCCTTTTTACATCCGAGAGGATTTAGTGTCATTCCACTTACTATTTCCCCAAATCTCTGCAGTTCATTTTCATGCATGCATTAGGTATAAATGGTGGGCGATTTGAAATGTTCACTCTTGACGACTGTGATACCGAGGGCGAAACAATTACAAAAGCTCCACTTACCCAAACGCCGCTCACGATGAGTTTACTCACGAAACTTTGATCCTTTAGAAAAACAACCACAGCCTTATTCATCCATACAATGTTTTCGAATCCCGTTTGTTCACCAATCGCTACAAGCACTAGAATCAGGCACACACCTGACCCCATGGCGGAGCGACACGGACGAAACCTCCATCTCAGCCCTCCGCCACGATGCAAAAGGAAACTTTTACCTGGCGACTATTTTCCTTCTAAATAAAACTACTACTTAACTAAAAAGAAACTAAAAAAATTACTACAAAAAGAAACTAAAGGAAAATACAGGAAATTCCCCCAGAATACCTCCTCTCACCCGTGAGACGCTCACATTCCCCAAACTCCCAGCATGCACCGGGAGAGAGAGAGAGAGAGAGAGAGAGAGGCCTATTATAATACATTTTTACACAAACACACACACACACACACACTGTCCCCTTTTACTTAACATACACATATTTGTAATAATCACACTCTCAATCACACTCACTCACTCACTCACACACACACACACACACACACACACACACACACACTAATAGATTAAAGCTAAGATTTGCAACCCTAGTCACAGAACAGATTGTGTGTGTGTGTGTGTGTGTGTGTTTCCTTTAGTAAATTAATCTGAATCATGTTTGTGTGTTATAGTGTGGATCATTGTGGAGAGTTCAGGATTACAGCAGGATCACGCAAATGTAGGTCTACACACCCACACACACACACACACACACACACACACACACTCATTCAGTGATTTGTTGATTTGTGTCATTTAGTGAAATGTTTCTCTCTTCTTGTGTTCAGATGCCTGTGATCTCACACTGGATCCAAACACAGCACACACTCGACTCATTCTGTCTGATGAGAACAGGACAGTGACGAGTGTGGAAGAGCGTCAGCCGTATCCTGATCATCCAGAGAGATTTGATGAGTATCGTCAGGTTGTGTGTGTGGAGAGACTGACTGGACGCTGTTACTGGGAGGCTGAATGGAGCGGGAGATATGCTGATATATCAGTGACATATAAAGGAATCGGGAGGAAAGGATGGAGTGATGACTGTGAGTTTGGATGGAATGATAAATCCTGGAGTCTGATCTGCTGTTATGACAGATTCTATGTCCATCACAATAAGATCAGCACTGATATTCCTGTCGTCTCTTCATCCTCTAAGAGAATAGGAGTGTGTGTGGACGTGTCGGCCGGCACTCTGTCCTTCTACAGCGTCTCTGATACACACACACTCACACACTTACACACACTCTACACCACATTCACTGAACCCCTCTATGCTGGATTTGGGCTTTATATGCTTAACTCTTCAGTGTCTCTGTGTGACATTAAACAGCGTCCTGAGAGAAACAACAGTGACACCCATATGGAAAAAATATAGATAAATTTGACTAAATGTTTATATCTGAAACTTGTAAGTAATATATATATATATATATAACAGTCAGACAAGACACAAAATCCTTATTAAAATTGTGTAATATGATGATTTAAGATAATTTGGGAACTTATAATTACTATATATGACAATATTAAATCCAAAACAATATTCTTAGTAGATACACATAACATCAAAGTTATATGAGTTGGGCAATCATTAGTGAAACCAAAATCTTGCTATATTTTATAAAAACCTTACAAGACAATAGACGTATGTAAGATGTCACTTATATGAGACATTAAAGTACATGGAAAAGCTCATGATGAGATGACCAAAAATAATGTATAGCATTTCTAAGATTTTATGACACTAGCACTGTCTCAGATCAGATTGTCTCAGATTGTTTTTAGATCACACTTTCTTCAATCTCCATTAGTGATTTTTTCCAAAGATGATTACATGGGTTATATTTGTTGTTATTTAAGATTTTATGAGTAATTCTATCCAATGAAATAGTCAAAAATGATTGTTTATTTACAGTTAGATTTTCAAGTTCTTGTGTATGCAGCAAATATTCAAAATTGGCATGTAAAAATAAAAAACACCCAGTTACTCTTTTCTTGCCATAGAAAGATTTAATTTTGCACTTAATTAGTATATGAGATGTATATTTACAGACAGACTGCGACGACCGCACTGCTGCGCTGTGAAACCCACTCTTTTCAATGGCTTGCGCCGCGCAACAGCGGTTTGTTGTTGCGTCCAGCAAAGTGCAAGCACAGCAGAGCCACCGCTCAGTGACCTCACGCACACGCCGCAGTCAAAGTTAAAAATGGTTGAACTTTTGCGTTGAACTCGGCGGTTTTGTTCTGAGCCCCGAAGCCAGCGCAAATCGCTTCCTATCAGAAAGGGCCATTAGAGAAGGTCATCCATGCTTTTATTTCCTCAAGACTCGATTACTGCAATGTTCTGTACTCTGGTATCAGTAAGGGAAATATTCATAGATTACAGCTCAGTCAAAATGCTGCAGCCAGACTTTTAACTGGCACTAAGAGGATTGACCACATCACACCATGTTACCTGTGAGTATTAGAATTAATTTTAAGATTTTACTTCTCGTTTTTAAAGCCCTGAACGGACAGGCTCCTGCCTACTCTATGATTTGATAACTCCCTACAAGCCGGACCGATGCCTGAGATCCTCTGGCAGGGCAATACTAGCGGTTCCCAAGTCTAGTCTTATCACTAAAGGTGATCAAGCCTTTGCTGTATGGCATTTTTATAAACATGTTATTAGGGCCCGAGCACTAACAGTGCGAGGACCCTATTGAAACTGTTAGGATTATTATTATTTTTTTTTTTTGTGCCATTTTCGGGGCCGCAACATGCTCAAAAACTCACCAAATTTGGCACGCATGTCAGGACTGGTGAAAAATTTCGTATTTTGTGGGTTTCGCGGATGGGCGGGGCAAAATGGCTCGCTAGCGCCACCTAGAAAATTGGAAAAAATTAGCCCCTCGTCCACGTTCAACCTACATGCACGAAATTTGGTGGGGACGTGTATCATATCAAGACGCACAAAAAAGCCTCAAGAACCCATACCCTAAACTCGACAGGAGGTTCGCCATTTTGAATTTGGCGGCCATTTTTGGACGATTTACAGACTCCGTACTTTAACGAACTCCTCCTAGGGATTTAGTCGGATCGACTTAAAATTTCTGCTGTGCCTTCTAAAGGCATTGACGATGTAAAGTTGTGCTATCTGCGCGTTTTCGTCGATGGGCGTGTCCGTGGCGTCGAAGATTCGCCATGAAACAGGAAGTTGTAGTAACTTGGCTGTAAATGCCCAGATCTGCACGAAATTTTACACATTTGACAAGAGTCCCGCCCTGAACAAATCTCCATGCCGACATTCACCCACAGTCATAGCGCCACTTGCTGGCAAAAGGAAGTGTCCTTTAACGAAGCAGCCCCCGTCGCATGTTTGACCGACATGTACGAAATTTCTGTGGTACATCTACCATGTCCAGACGCACAGAAAAGTCTCTTGGAGCGATGCCCTAAACTCAACAGGAAGTCAGCCATTTCTACTTTTACCGCCATTTTTGGATGATTTACTCATTACGTACTTTAACTAACTCCTCCTAGGGCTTTAGTCGGATCGACATCACATTTCTGCTGTGCCTTCTAAAGGCATTGACGATGTAAAGTTGTGCTATCTGCGCGTTTTCGTCGATGGGTGTGTCCGTGGCGTCAAAGATTCGCCATTAAACAGGAAGTTGTAGTAACTTGGCTGTAAATGCCCAGATCTGCATGAAATTTTACACATTTGACAAGAGTCCTGCCCTGAACAAATCTACATGCAGACATTCACCCACAGTCATAGCGCCACCTGCTGGCAACAGGAAGTGACCTTTAACGAAGCAGAGCAAATGCACAGCGGCACTGGCTGAGCTGCAGAATATGCAATGCGGCTGCCTCACACCCCGACGTGCTACAGGTGCGAGGGCCCGCCCATCGCTGCTTGCAGCTTTAATTATTATTGTTATTGTATTTTCTGATTTTATTGTTGATTTTTTACTAAAAGCAAGTGACCCCAACTCCAGGTGGCATGCATCGATATTGGCTACCAGCTATACAGCGTGCTAACCTCTGGAGCAACTAGGGTTTAAGTGTCTTGCTCAGGGACACATTGGTGTCTCATAGTGGATTCGAACCCAGGTCTCTCACACCAAAGGAATGTGTCTTATCCACTGCGCCATCACCACCCCCTATGCTATCAAATATGACTTTATACAGGCTTAGTAAAAAAAATGAAAATCAATTTGTGGCGTCAGCATTGTTATTGTGGCAGGCCACCACAAATAAATGAAAGTATGGGAAACACTATGAACAGACTCAGACTAGAGCTTGGCCATAGCGGCTAGCCAACACAGGCAGACCTGCTCAGAGAAGACAGACTGTTTCAGCTTACCAAGGTGGAGACGGGGAAACATTTCCCACTTCAGTATTTTTACAATATTGTCACAGTGGTTTGTAGAGAAAGCTGATTGGGATAAGTTTGAAGCGCTAAGTGAGGAATGGCTATCATGTGTTGATGGTAGTGAAAGTAATGATGTATTAACTAGAGAAATTAGGTCAGGCATAATAGCAGCAGCAGATGTCACTATTACAAATCAAAACCCAAACGCTTGAATAAAATAGTGCCATGGTGGTCAAGAGAGTGTAAGGAAGCTGTAAAAGAAAGAAACAAGGCATTTAGATTACTTAAGACGACACACACTTTCCAGCATTTGATAGAATACAAGAGAGCGCAAGCAATGGTGAGGCAACATGTCAGGAAAGCAAAAAGGGAATACTGGAGGAAGTTTTGTGATTCTTTAGGTCAAACTACTCCAATAGAGAAGGATTGGGGGATGATTAGGAAAATGAATGGAAATGGTTGGGAATATGGATATCCTGTGATAATTGATGGAGATGACAGAATAACCTCTAGTAAGGAGAAAGCAGAAGCTATAGGAAAAACACTAGCCAAAGTACACAGTTCAGAAAACCTTAGTTATGAAGAAAGAAAAGGGAGAGAAGAAACTGTGTCTAAATATCAAAGAGTGTTTGAGAATGAGAAGTTCACAAAAGGAGAATTGAAAAGAGCACTGAAGACGTTAGGAAAGTCCGCTCCAGGTAAAGACACTATATGCTACTCAATGTTGGAGAATCTGAGTGATAGTGGTAAGGATGTCCTGTTGAAGTTGTACAATAAGATATGATGGAGGGAATTATCCCTAAAGAGTGGAAGGAGTCTATCATTGTACCAATTAAGAAGCCGGGGAAAGACCCTCATAGTCCAAGCAGGTATAGATCTACAGCATTGACATCGCAGATGGGTAAGACAATGGAGAAAATGATGAATGATAGGCTGGTGTGTTGGGTAGAGTCAAAAGGATGGTTGTTGCTTGAGAAGGGGAAGGGGTATATGGACCAGTGGTATATCTGGAGGAAGACATAAGAAAGGCTCAAGTGAATAAACAGACTGTAGTGGCAGTGTTCTCTGACATAGAGAAAGCATGACATGATGTGGTCAGAAGGACTGTTAATTAAATTAAATCAGATGGGATGCATCAGTGGGTCAGAGATTTCCTATCTGAAAGAACATTGAGAGTTAAAACTGATGGTGAACAAAGTGAGAGTTTTAGAGTAGAAAATGGCACCCCTCGAGGAAGATTGTGAGTCCTTGTGAGATTGTGAGAAAAAATTTTTTTTTTCTCCCTTCCTGTTTTGACAATTACCTATTAAAATTTGTTATTGAATCTATCGTGTGTTTTTTTATTTGGTGAACAAATTTCATTGTTGTGTAATTGGTGGTTAGATTGGGTTAATTTATTAGCCTACATTAAATGATTTTGGTGTATTTAATGCTGCCTGGCGCCCGAATTTCGTTAAGAGTAATTTAAGGAATTAATTTCCAATAAATAAGGTTGCCACCGTTACAAAACCATACAGGTCTAATGAGATCAGTGACAAGCTTAAACAAACTTGATGGTATGGAAAATCAAGCAATGAGGATAATTAGTGGTGCAATAAAACTTCTCCAGTAGCTGCAATTCAATTAGAGGTGGATGAGATGCCACTACATTTGAGGAGGCAAGGCAAAGGCTAGTTAATGAGTTGACAGCAAAGAAAATGTCTTTAGAAACTAAAACACTATTGAACAGATGTTCAAGGGTTTTGATTTCTTACTTTCTTTTTTGAAAAGTATAGGCCTTTTAAAAAGGATACAAGAATAACTTTATTTTTTTTAAGTTATCAATGTTTGTTTAATTGCTGTATTTTGTTAAAGAATAGCCATTAACTCCCGTGAACACTGAAAGCACGAGTCCTGATTGTTCTGGGAGTTGTGATATAGTGTCTCTGATCGATTCCTACAGTAGATGGCGGTAATGCTCTTTTTAAGAATGCGAACCGCCAATAAGCTCAAAGAAGAAGAAGAAGAACTCCCGCTCCTTACTCCAGTCCTGTGGTGGCGGTAATGCACAAGAAATAGTTGTTAACCGCCAAATAAAAATAATAATAAAAGAAGAAGATATGCCGGTAAGTTCGTTTATCTGATTCTGATATCATGTTATATTATTGTAACTTACACTGTTTTCTGTTTGCTTATCAGACGCAATGTTTAAATAAGTAAAATCTAAATTAAGACTGTTTAAAGTGACCAACTATCAGTAACAGTTTTACTTTTCAGACTTAAATGAGACCAATCCACCTTTTTATGAAACTGACTTAAATGTTATGATCATTCTTGAAGAAGAAACTAGACTGACTGTAAAACTAGAAGCAGTTTCTGCATCTGGCGACAGGAGTTATAATCATATCGAGATCTATGATTCTGCTTTTAGTTGAGACTCATTTATGGATTCTTTACTGAAAATATACAAAAGTGTATATATCCACCTTCATTTATATAGCACTTTTAACAATATAGATGTTTCACAGCAGCTTTACAGTGATAACAGGAGATTACAGTAACAGAGATTGTTTAGGCTTTACAGCAGATCTAGAATAAAGTTATTGTCCAGATAAAGTTAGTTTTGATTGATTCACTTCAGTTGTAGAGATCATTAGTTATTAACTTATGGGCCAAAAACATGACACCGTATTATATTATAATATCACTGCTATACTATAGTTTAAATATAATATTATAATATCACTGCTATACAATAGTTTAAATATAATATTATAAAATCACTGCTATACAATAGTTTAAATATAATATTATAATATCACTGCTATAATAATTTAAATATAATATTATAATATCACTGCTATACAATAATTTAAATATAATATTATAATGTCACTGCTATAATAGAAAAGAGAGAGAGCGGGGCACAACCGAACACTTTTAGACTTCCTCAGTTTGTGTAAATCCACTTGGGCTTCAGAATATTTATTGTTAAACACATTCATTTCACACGTCAAGTAAAATTATGTGTTTTTTCGTTGATACACAATGTATTTATTTTTTCTTGATTTACCCTGAAAGAATGGAAGTGAAATGTGACAACATGCCCCATAGTACATTGTAATAAGACAGATCTTCATTAATCCCCTCGCTATCAGACGTCCCGGGGGTCTCCCGCATATTGATAACGGCAAATAACCTGCGTTTCGGTACCCGACCCTAGCGAGGACAGGACAGTAGTGAAGGAATACAAATGTATTAAATGTTTCATAAAGGTTTAACAGTATTTTGAACTGAAATAAGTACACACAGTGTTTACCATTTTGAGGCCAATAAGATTAAGCCAAGCATTCCAGGTGTCGCACATTAGCTTTTGTCTTTATGCGCTTCCTGGCCATTAAGTTCAAGATTCAGCTTTGCTTTTGTAATGGTAAAAGTGGGACCACGCTGGTCAGACTGATTAGATTAGCGTCTCTGGTAATCTGCTGAATCATTTACATCTGCTTTGTTTCAAGAGACTCCTCCTCAATGTCCTCCTCCAGATTAGCATCTCAAGGCACAGAAAACTGCTGATGAACTGTTGAATCATAATCATTGCTTTCAGTTTCTCCCCTCAATGTAAACTCCTCCCCTCTAAATGTAGAAATTGTAAGGGAATGTTTTCCCTTAGTTAGACTATCTCTGAGATGACTAATACAGAAACTCAAACGTCTCCTGAGTTGCTAACTTTTCTACAAGGAAAGAAAAGTTTCTTCCAGTAGTCCCGGCACTTCTGATCCTGAAGGGAAACGGGCCGGAGTGGATCATCTGGAAAACTGAAGTATTGTATTGAGTTAACTTCATCTGGATTCGCTGATGAAGACATCATTCAGCCTGGAATCAGCCAAGAATATTACAATCTGTGCATCTCTAGAAATAATGTGTGTGTTTGTTCTCTTGTGTTTCCATATGCAGGTCTGAAGTCAGTTTCTCATGATGAAGAGCAGAGAGAGATCTTCATCTCCAGACCCCAGCTGTGTGTCTATGAAGAGTGACAGATCCATGGGTCATCCTCCTAATATCAGTGATGAAGCAGTGACCTCTGACCCCAGCTGTGTGTCTATGAAGAGTGGCAGATCCATGGGTCATCCTCCTAATATCAGTGATGAAGCAGTGACCTCTGACCCCAGGTGAGATATAATCCAGTTTTAAGCCCGATACACACCAAGCCGACGCCAACTTCCAGATTATCCAGATCATTAATAATATTCTCTTTAATATATGATATATATCGCACTGAATGCACACAGAGAGATGAGTTCAGTTTTTATTTCTGATTTCTCCTCAAATCTGTGGACAAACGTTCAGTGATGGAGAATGAACTGTGACCTCAATGTCCAGATATAAGAAACTTATTGTCTATCAGGATCTCTGGTGTCAGATTGAGGATGAGGATTTGGTGTCTTCCTCATTTCTTAAATCTGTTAGTGAGTTTGTTCCTGGTCTCTCATCTTTAGCTGTGATGGGAAATTAACTTTATTATACAGACATAATTATACAGAAAACACAAGATTGACATCTGTATTGATTAGGGATGTCCCGATACCACTATTTCACTTCCGATACCGATGCCGCAGCTTTGGCTATTTGCAGATACCGATATCAATCTGATATTTTTATTTTACTCTTGATCTAATACTAATAATAATAAAATATAAGGAAGCACTTTGCTCAATTAACCACCTAAAAACATCTCATCAAATGGAGAACAAATACTGCTCCAGTGTATAGTCCACAACAACAGTTGATTATGAACGACTGCCACCCTTTATTCAAACACTACAAATAATAATAAATAAATAAATAAAAATGCAGGTACTTCAGTACTTAAAGGTCCCGTTCTTCGTGATCCCATGTTTCAAACTTTAGTGTGTGTCATGTTGTTGATAGAGTATAAATAATATCTGTAAAATTATAAAGCTCAAAGTTGAATGCCAAGTGAGATATTTAATTTAACAGAAGTAGCCTACATCGAACGGCCCGTTTGGACTACATCCCTCTACTTCCTTCTTTAATGACGTCAGTAGATCAGTTTTAGACTAACGTCCGCCCACAGGAACGCTCCCTCGACTCCCTCAACTTAAACACTTCTTATGACTTACTGTGTTTACTCAGATCTTACGGTGATTTTCTGAAGTAAAACTGACGCTTCATCTTTTGTGTGATGTACAATAAACTTTATTAAACTCATCAGTATATGTGACCCGCTCTGGCGAAATGAGTCGGTGCCCTTTAACCTTATAAAATACGTAGACCTACACCACAAAACTAGTTAAATTATTACTAAATTGTTTAAAATTGGGCAATTTCAGCGTTATGGATAGATAATTAAATCTTTTAATAAATAGGCCTATGTGAACCACACTGCACAAACCAAAAGTAATACCCACCGGATGAAGAAGGACTGACTCTCCCCAGAACATAAAATCTTTTATTTTATTTTCCGTGTTCGCATTTATGAGGAAAAAACAATGATACAGACGTGACCGTTCTCTGGACGCAGCACTAAAACTTTCACTGAGCCGAAACAGAAAGCAAGCACAAAGCCGTTCTTTAAAGTGAATTTAATTTGAAAAATAATTTTATCTTAATTTAAATCAATGTTTCATCAACCAATTACCAGGATTTAATAAGAAATAAATTGCAGACAAAGGATAGGCTAGGCCTAATCACGACACGGAGCGGCAGCACTGAAGCTGAAGCTCGTCTCATGAACCGAAAGTCAGCGTATAAGGGATCCTACTTGCCTCACAGACTTGAGAAATATATATATATTACTTTTAAACAAAACCATTCAAAACGAAAGAAAAGAGACTGCTCTCTGCTTATGTGGGCTAATCCGTATGAAAAGTGAATTTCTCTCCGGCTCCTCTGTTCAATCTTTCTGATTTTAGAACATTTTTGTAACACAAAAAAAAACATGTTTTTCCGAAACACCGAAAGAAATTATGCCAATTATTAGTATCATTGCATTTATGGCTATGACTGCGTACAAGCGTTACTAAAATCAAGGCATTGCAATTGCATAAATTAATATACAATTTTCAAAGAATAAATCAATTACAAATTATGCAAATATTTATTTAGCACAATGCACAGTATAAAATAAAATTTACACTAAAATGTTTTTGACCCCACTCATGTGTACATTAATAATAATCTACTGGCCTGCAGAAAGGTTTTAAAATTAAATGTTCTCTCATAAAAACAAAGCCGAGCGCGAACTTCTCATCACCGTTTCATCTGTGGAGACTCGCACATACTTTGGCCTGCCTCCGCAGCGCGATTCTCCACAGACAGTTTATACTTGACCCGCTCGCATCCGGAGTCGTCGTCGTCATGGCGGATTGTTTAGAGCAGATATAGGTGGATAAACAAGGCTTCCGTCTCCTCGCGGGTTCAGATTCACTGATACGTCCACACCGCAGACATGTTGCTTCAGACATGCACGTGCAGGTCGCGGTTTCTGTTTGCGTCATCACAACATTTCGGCCGTATTGTTTCGGTGATAAAAGTCTTTCGGTGGCCGAATATTCGGTGCATCCCTATCAGAGACTTATTTTACATCTTGTGAAAAGGGGCATAATACGGGACCTTTAAAGCACCAACAGATTTAAAGTTAAAAATCTGTGGACTTTTAACTTTAATCATCCTAGCTAAGGTCACCGAGGTAGTCAAGAAACTCCTCGGTGGCAAGGCACTGGGGATGGATGAGATCCGCCCCGAATACCTCAAGTCTCTGGATGTTGTGGGGCTGTCTTGGTTGACACGCCTCTGCAGCATCGCGTGGCGGTCGGAGACAGTGCCTCTGGGATGACAGACCGGGGTGGTGGTTCCTCTTTTTAAGAAGGGGGACCGGAGGGTGTGTTCCAACTATAGGGGGATCACACTTCTCAGCCTCCCTGGGAAAGTCTATGCCAGGGTATTGGAGAGGAGTATATATAGTAGAACCTCGGATTCAGGAGGAACAGTGTGGTTTTCGTCCGGGCCGTGGAACACTGGACCAGCTCTATACTCTCTACAGGGTGCTGGAGGGTTCATGGGAGTTTGCCCAACCAGTCCACATGTGTTTTGTGGATTTGGAGAAGGCATTCGACTGTGTCCCCCGAGGCGGCCTGTGGAGGGTGCTCTGGGAATATGGGGTCCGGGGTCCTTTGCTAAGGGCTGTCCGGTCCCTGTATGACCAAAGCAGGAGCTTGGTTCGCATTGCCGGTAGTAAGTCAGACTTCTTCCCGGTGCATGTTGGACTCCGGCAGGGCTGCCCTTTGTCGCCGGTTCTGTTCATAATTTTTATGGACAGAATTTCTAGGCGCAGCCAGGGGCCGGAGGGTGTCAGGTTTGGGGACCACACGATGTCTCTGCTCTTCGCGGATGATGTTGTCGTGTTGGCCCCTTCAGACCAGGACCTTCAGCATGCACTGGGACAGTTTGCAGCCGAGTGTGAAGTGGCTGGGATGAGAATAAGCACCTCCAAATCCGAGGCCATGGTCCTCAGCCGGAAAAGGGTGGCTTGCTCACTTCAGGTTGGTGGGAAATCCTTCCTCAAGTGGAGGAGTTTAAGTATCTTGGGGTTTTGTTCACGAGTGAGGGAAGGATGGAACGGGAGATTGACAGACGGATCGGTGCAGCTTCAGCAGTAATGCGGTCGATGTCGGTCTGTTGTGGTGAAGAAGGAGCTGAGCTGCAAGGCAAAGCTCTCGATTCACCGGTCAATCTACGTTCCTACTCTCACCTATGGTCATGAGCTTTGGGTCATGACCGAAAAGGACAAGATCCCGGATACAGACGGCCAAAATGAGCTTTCTCCGCAGGGTGGCTGGGCGATCCTTTAGAGATAGGGTGAGAAGCTCGGTCACTCGGGAGGAGCTCAGAGTAGAGCCGCTGCTCCTCCACATCGAGAGGGGTCAGCTGAGGTGGCTCGGGCATCTGTTCCGGATGCCTCCTGGACGCCTCCCCGGGAGATGTTACGGGCACGTCGCATTGGGCGGAGGCCCCGGGGAAGACCTAGGACACGCTGGAGAGACTATGTCTCCCGGTTGGCCTGGGAATGCCTCGGTGTCCCCCAGAAGAGCTGGAGGAAGTGTCTAGGGAGAGGGAAGTCTGGGCATCTCTGCTTAGACTTATTTGCGTTTTTAACTATAAATGAGTTCACTTAAGACTGTGATATGTTTTGTCTTAGGCTATTTCAATCCACCCGCCCAAACCCATTTTTGCCATATGGGTTTGGCATAGATTGGAAAACTGCCCAATCTGGCAACCCTACAGTTATCACGTGACAGGCTGTGCCACTTAACTGGATGTCACAGCAAGGGAAATGTTAATATTCCAGCCTTTAGGCGATGGTTAAAGCTAGATTTTCCCATGGTTTGTGTTGGATAGGGATCGGATCATATTTTTTCCCCCTTCCGATCTAGCATTGTGGGCCATTATCGGCACGATATGGATCGGATCGGGACATCCCTAGTATTGATTGACTATATTTTATTTATAGATTTAAATCATTTATTTTAATTAAATCATCTTCTTTTTGTCCCATTTGTGTTGTTTGAGCAGAGTGGATAGAGATGATCAAACTGGAGATTCTCCTCAACCAGTGAATGATGAACTACAGAGAGTCAAAGACCGACTCAAAACCAGCATGAAGAGCAAGTATGAGAGATTATTTGAGGGAATGAATCTCCAAGAGAATGAAACCCTCCTGAACAGGATCTACACACAGCTCTACATCATAGAGGGAGAGAGAGGAGGAGTGAATGAAGAACATGAGGTTTTACAGATGGAGAAATCAGCCAGAACACAACACTCACAAGACACTCCAATCCACTGCAATGACATCTTTAAAGCCTCTCCTGAACCAGGACGCCAGGAGAAACAGCAGATCAAGACTGTTCTTACTAAAGGCATCGCTGGAATCGGGAAAACCGTCTCTGTGCAGAAGTTCATTCTGGACTGGGCCGAGGGGAAAGACCATCAGGATGTAGATTTCATGTTTGTGCTTCCATTTCGAGAGCTGAACTTGATCCGAGATCATCAGTACAGTCTTCACAGACTTCTGCTGGACTTTCATCCTGAACTTCAAGATCTGGACTCAAAGATGTATGAGGAGTGTAGAGTTGTGTTGATCTTTGATGGTCTGGATGAAAGCAGAATCCCACTGATGTTTTCAGACGCTCAGGAAGTTTCTGATGTGACTGAGTCTTCATCAGTGGGTGTGTTGATGTCAAACCTCATGAAAGGAGATCTGCTTCCCTCGGCTCTCATCTGGATCACCTCCAGACCAGCAGCAGCCAATCAGATCCCCTCCAAATACATCCACCGTCTGACAGAGATTCAGGGATTCAGTGATCCTCAGAAGGAGGAATATTTCAGGAAGAGAATCAGTGACGAGCATCAAGCCAGCAGAATCATCTCTCACATCAGAAGAGCAAGAAGCCTCCACATCATGTGCCACATACCCGTCTTCTGCTGGATCTCCTCCACTGTGCTTCAGAAGCTCCTGGAAGAAGATCTGAGTGCAGAAATCCCTCAAACTCTGACTGAAATGTACATCCACTTCCTGCTGATTCAGATCCACATGAGGAATCAGAAGTATGAAGAGAGAGATCCAGAGAAACTCCTGCGCTCCAACAGAGAAGTGATTGTGAAACTTGCTGAAGTGGCTTTCCATCAGCTGATGAAGGGCAATGTGATGTTCTACGAGGAGGACCTGAGAGAGAGCGGCATAGACGTCACTGACGCCGCAGTGCATTCTGGGATCTTTAAGGAGATCTTTAAGGAGGAATCTGTGATTCATCAGAGGAAAGTCTACAGCTTCATTCATCTGAGCGTCCAGGAGTTTCTCGCTGCTTTCTTTGTGTTTTACTCGTATATGATCAACAACAAGGAACCACTGCGTGAATATAGGCTTTTCAGATCTGATAAAGACTCTCTGTATGATCTACTAAGATCAGCAGTAAATAAAGCCCTCAGGAGTCATAATGGACGTCTGGATCTGTTCCTGCGGTTCCTGCTGGGCGTCTCACTGGAGTCCAATCAGAGACTCTTACAGGATCTACTGACACACACACAGAACAGCTCAGAGGACATCAGGAGAATCACACAGGACGTTCTAGAGATGATTAAGACATGCTTTTATGATCATGATGACATTTATGTAGATGAACTTGATATGCGATACAAAGAAAATAAAAAACTTGCTGAACTCTCAGCTGATCAATCCATCAATCTGTTCCTCTGTCTGCTGGAAGTGAAAGATCAGACTCTGTCCAGAGAGATTCAGGAGTTTGTGAAATCAGACAAACACTCACAGAAGGAACTCTCTCCGTCTCACTGCTCAACAATCTCCTTCATGCTTCAGATCTCAGAGGAGCCGCTGGATGAGCTGAACCCCATGAAATACAACACATCAGCTCAGGGCAGAAGAAGACTGATACCAGCTGTGGTCAACTGCAGTAAAGCTCGGTGAGTGTTCATTATTAACCCTTTCACGCATAAGTTTAAAATATTCTAACTGACCCCCCAGCTTGAGTTTTTCAAGGCGACCGTTATTTAGAACTTGCCACTTTAATGTTTCCATGGTGACGCGTCATTGCTTGTCACGTGACACAGCACTCATTTTTCCATTTTTATTAAAAATATTCACAAATGTATTGGTTATAGCATGAAACACTGATATTTCGATTGTCAAATATGTGCAAGTGGATGGGTTTTGTTGTTTAAACATCTTTATAACGAATGCGTTAGTTGAGCTGTATGCACAATGGGCGGCGCCATTTTAGTTTCTTTTACAGTTCAGAGAATCGGATCTGTTGGATTTACAACAAATCAATTCCTCCACTTCTCACGAAATACATGAAAGTAAGTGGCTGGTGAACTGGGAGAAGAATAGGGTCAAATGTTAAGCTACTTACACAATTTGTATCTGATATGAATAAAACGTGTCATCTTCTTAAAATTGAAAGGATTATTACTGCCACTTCCTTAGACATCAGTGTGTATTTTACAAACTCAAAATCATTGTTTTGCTAGTACTTATGTGTATTTAAATGTCTGAAACCTAAAATAAACGTTATGTGGTTGAAAACACTCAATAGTTGATATATGACCGCACTGAGTGCGTCTGTCTCTGGCTCAGCGCCAGCAAGTTTGAATTTAGCAGTTGATGACGTGATGCACTGACCGTTCTAATCACACCGGTGTGATCGTACGCTCCAGGGCCATCAGGGCCGGGCTGAAGAAGGTACCCGGGCGCCCCCTGAAACAGGGTCTGAAAACTTGGTCCATAAATCAAACACGCTTGCATGTAATAATATGAAACCTGGTACACATATAGATCTCATCGGGGCGAACAACTTTCATGCTCTAAGTTTTACCCCAGCCCAATAGGAAGTTGTCTATTAAGGGTTGTTTGTAAAACGCATGCAATGGAATTTAAAGTACTTCTCCTAGAGAATTCAAAGAAACGCCACGAAACTTGGTCAGTGTGAAATCAAGACATTGAGAATGAAAAATTGCTAGGGGATTTTTGATATCTCGAACGGTTTGGCCGTGGCGAGGAAACGAATTTATGGTGAGAAACGTGAAACAGGAAGTGTGTTATAACTTCAGCATACATTAACTGATCTTGATGAAACTTCAGCAGTGTATTTGCTGTAAGAGGATGATCACATGGATGTGACTATTGTGAGTCAAAGTTATAGCGCCCCCAACTGGCAGCAGGAAGTGTGTTGCTTCCAAAATACTTTGAAATCCCCCTGTTATTTTTACCTGATTTGCTTCAAACTCATCTGTATAATGTAAACACACGCCAGATGTAGACCTGTGAAATGATTATTTAATATTTAAGATATAGTTGCCATGGCAACACATCAAACTTTGATATTCTTTTTTGATGCTTTTGAGACTCTTAGCATGCTAGATATTGCATGAAACTCGACAGACACATCACATTTATTAGGTAGTAGACGTGTGCAAAGTTTCAGAAACGGGCATGGTGCAGGGGCTCAGTAGTGCTACCTTCAAAATGGGATATTACACATTAGTATAAACACATTAAAAAAAACATTGAGATTTGAAAAGAAAAAGAGCAGCATCCCAGAAGAGGAAGATAATGAGAGCAATCACTGGACAAAAATAAAGCAGGCCTGGTGAGTATATAAACATGCAGAATTTATTATTTTTACCTTAAAAGAAGACTCTTTTGACCATCAAGCCCGTATTTACTTGATCAGAAATACACCATTATATTATATTATATAAATATAATTATATTACAGGCCAGTGATTGCTCTCATTATCTTCCTCTTCTGGGATGCTGCTCTTTTTCTTTTCAAATCTCAAGATTTTTTTAATGTGTTTCCAATCAAAATGAAGCTCTTTATGTTCAGTTGGTCACATTTACTCATTTCTAACTAATTTTAAAACTTCTGAGATAGATAGAGTGTTTTATCTCTTTTTTTTAATGATGTCTCATTCTTTCAGATCATTGTTTAAATAATTGATTCTATATCATGTCATTGTGTTTTTAAGGTCCGCTGATCGCACCATTGTCCACTGCTTGCAGTGCCACAAACCCCAGGACAACCTTGCTGTTCATCTGGCCAGAGTGTGCATGAAGAAACGCACGCCTGAGGAGAGAGCGGCCGAGGTTCAGAAAGCCAAGGCTTCGGGCAAAGAGTGGATTCGGACGAACAGGACCTGGGACTACAACCAGATCTGTGTGCTCCTGCCTGACCGGCGCTCTCGGGTCACCATGGTCAAGGAGCTTCTACGGCGTGGTTTTTTTATCACGAACCAGCCCCGCGAGTCTGACAGTGACGAAGAAGAAGATGCTGCTCCGTCTGATCTTCCTCAAACGTAAGGGCAATCCTTAAATGCTTTTCTAACTTTATTTTTATCGATAACTTTACTAGTCTTGTCTGTTATGTTGAATCCAAACAGCCGGTTGGTTCAGACGGCTCCGGGCATTAAACACTGCCAGAAGATCGTGAGAGTGGCGAAGCCGGACGTGCTCAGGATCCAGAGGGACCTGCAGGCGGGCAGAGAGCTCTCCAACACGGACCAGACGCTCTACCGCTATTACTGCGAGGCGCTCTTGGTGTTTGTCCACATGCAGCGTCCCAGAGCCGTAGAAGCCTTGACGGTCAGTTCATCTACTGGAACCAGTTTACACTTCGGATGTGCTTTAATATTGGCACACTTATGCATTTGTCAACGATATTTTCCAGGATACCGAGTGGGTGAACAAGACCAAGCTGGGGGACAGGTTTGTGATCGGCGTACAGAGGGAGAAAGCCTCGAGTATGCAGATCGCTCTGACCCAAGAGGAGGAAGCTGTAAGTTTGACTGATTGCTCTCCACCATTGTTTTAAATGGAATAACTCATTGGTCTTTTCTCCGCAGTGCTTGGAGCTGTACTTCAGCCGCATCAGGCCTGAGAACATTCAGCCGGATAAACTCTGCAAGAGCTTCTTCGTCTCGTCGTCTGGCGTGGAGGTTCACAGTGTCTCTCGGGACATGAATCGGCTGCATAAACTGTAAGAGCCGAACACGGGTCCATGTGCGTGTGTGTGAACGGATACACTTCTTTGCATCTCGCCTCGTCAAATTAACATTTCCTTTTTGTTTCTGCAGGTACAAGCTGGCTCCTTTCTCTGCCCAGTGTGTGCGGAGGGCGGTTGAGGAGGCTGCAGAAAAGCTCCCGGCGCAGCAACAGGAGGCGCTCCAGCATTACCTGTCCATCAGCGCTGGTGCGGTCCGGCCGCAGGATGTCCTCGACGCGGCTCTGCTGCTGGAATCATTAGTCAGGTACACATCGCTTCACAAAACAAAAACATCATTGTTTGGTGTATTATAAACCTTGTATTCCTCTCTTATACAGCACTTCTGCGGACGAGACGTCCTCGGCCACAAGCGGTGCCGCTGGACCATCTGGGAAGAGCTTCGCTGAATTCGTGGAGATATTTCCTGTTTCGCCGGAGGGTCAGCCGCCGTCCAAGAAGCAGCGCGTCGAATCAGGCTTTCCAGATGACCGCGTTTTTTATGACAAGTGGCGGATTACCCAGCGTGCCCAGCGAGAGGAATATCTGCTGTGTGAGTCTCTGAATCCATCAATAGAGCATCGACACTCATTAACTCAACACAAAACTAGGCCATTCAATCACAGTAGTGTTGTTTTTGGCGGCCTGTTTTAATTTTAGTTTTAGTCTAGTCTTTGTGTCAAGCTGACATTTTAGTTTTTGTTAGTTTTAGTCACGTTCATACTCTTTTTAGTCTAGTCTAGTTTTAGTCGGCGAAAAACATAGTCTAGTTTTAGTCAATGAAAATTGTATTTTAGTCTCTTTTTAGTAGGCAATTCTATTTAACTGTGAAGTTTGCACAGTGTGATCTGATGCAGCCCCTGAAGTGACACAGGAAACAGAAATATAATAATGCAAGTAGGCTAAACGAGACGAAATAACGCTAAATAACATTTCGTCTCGTTTTGGTCAACGAAAATGAAGAGACATTTTAGCATAGTTTTTATTTTTGTAAACCACATTTAGTCTCGTTTTTATTCGTCAACGATATTGCGTTATGCATTTAGTTATAGTCATCGTCACACGACCAGCAAGTTACGTTGCGTCTCGTCTCGTTTTCGTCACGTGATAAAGGTTCGTTGACGATGATATTTAGTCATAATTTTCGTTGATGAAAGCAACACTAATTCACAGTGACTCACATGAGTAACGTTATTTCATTCTGTCCTTCAGCACGTTTCACAGTCCACAAGCCTTCGGCCGCAAAGGTGGCGCGGCTTATCGCGCAGGAGGGGTGGAAGGTCAACTGTCCCAAGCCGGAGGACATCGAGCGGATGTGGACACCAGTTTCGAAGGCCGCGGTTGAAGATTACAAGTTCATCCTTCGCTGTGTGTCTGAGCAGAACTGGGCCGGCGTGGCCATTAAAGACTTTGGTGGCAAGAACGGTTTGGGTAAGAAAACCTTTCATTTGTCTTGTAAGGGCAGATAAAAACCAATAATGTAAAATGTGCATTTTAGCTGCGGCAAGAACTAAATTTACATTCTGAACTGTAATGTTTATTCATTAACTCAATATGTTCTCTTCATTTTAGGAGTCGTGGCAACTCGGACTTTTTCCAAGAACGACATTGTCTGCGATTACCACGGCAGGGTCATCCCAGCGGCACGAGGGAGGGCGATGGTGCAGGATGACGAGGACGGGCACATGTTCTTCTTCAAAGCCGGACAGAGAGAGCTCTGCATCGACGCCCAGACCTTTCCGTGCGAGTGCCACCCTGGCACAGACACCGTTGGCAGGAGGATAAACCACTCCACAAAAGCACCCAACCTGAAGCCCTTTCACTGCAGGCTGCGTGTGGACGGGGAGGACAAGTACGTCATCCTCCTCAGGGCGCTGCAGGACATCAGTGTGGGTGTGGAACTACGGTTTGACCACGGGGTGAAGAGGAAGTCCTTCTGTGGAGAGGGCCTGGACCCGATCTTCATCACACATGTGGAAGTGAAGTGAAGTGGAGCTGGAGAGATTTGAGAAAGATTCGTGCTTTATTTCACAGTGTGTTCGTTCCCATGTCCTGGAGCTGGAGTGGGTGGATGTCTGCCGACCCTGACAGACTCTATAATATTGGACATATATTTATGCTTTATGTACAGGACTTCATATAAAGCTGTTACACATATTTCTTTACTGTTTTAAAAATAAAAATTCACTTAATTGATTCATTTCAATGTTTCTTTTATCAGTGCCAGACTTTGATAACTTATTTAATAGCCTTTATTTATACTAGCCATGTTTACATAACATTAAAGCTGCAGTCCGTAGCTTTTCCTCTTTGTCGCCATCTCCGTTCGAAATCTGCAATTGGAGTTATTCGTGGAATTATCATCTTTACGTGGGTTGTAAATCGGCATGAAACAGCGCGGAAGAACACAGTGTTTTGAGGTGAGTGCTGCTGTCAATCACCGTGCTGTGTGGATACTGTCATACAGACTCATAGATTTACTTTTTGAAAGTTTGACCAACATAAGAATATTCACCGGAAAATGTCTTCTGAACAAGTAAGTAACATCCACTTCGTTCTGATCAACTAAGAGGGAAAAGCATTCGACATTAAGCGTTGTTAGATTTAATCAACGCGATTTACAGCAACCGTGCAAATTATAGCCTACTTTATTCTCAAATTGTTCATGTTAACAACATCAGCATTGCGTGACTAATGTTAAATTTAATGTGTTTTATGGTTACCTGCAGAATTCATATTCTCCATAATAGCAAAACGAGAAAGGCAAAACAAAGGAAACTCCATAACTGTGTGAATTAAGAAAAGGTACTGTTACACGATTGAACTATTGAAATGTCTTACTTGTTCAGCAGAAAAAAACAGTCTCTTCTTCCGTTTCGAACCCCTTCAAAGTTAACGCAATTTTTCAAAAGCCCCACCGATGTTTAAATCCTTGTGTTCGCATGAGACGGTTTCTTTCTCTTTCTCAGACACCTTAAATCCGAAGTACAAAGTCTTTTGGGTTTTATAACTGCTGAATCTCCAGTTGACACTGATGATTGTTGTTTGGATCTTTCTGAATGCCATAAGTTTAATTATGTGAAGTGCTGGGAGAAAAGCCTATACATCTTTACATCGCCTCATGCGCAGTATAGACCATTTCACAAGATGTAAACAACACTGGTCCAGAAACACTTCCTGTTTCAGTTTGTAACTGTTTTCTTTATTTCACATGTAAAGAAAACATCTTAAAGATGTTTGTTTAACTTTTTGATTCAGTTTTAAATGTTCTGTTGGTTGTATTTTATCCCAGCTTTTATGTAGTGTTAAAAAACTGAAACAGGAAGTGCTTCTGGACCAGTGTTGTTTACATCTTGTGAAATGGTCTATAGCCGGCTAGCCGAAACTCCTTCTTTGTGTTTACGGGTGTGACGTAATGACGCAAAGACTTGCTCGAATTTCCCGCGGAAACCCACCAGTACCACTGGAATTAAAATAATTATTACAAGCTAACCGTTTTGAATCTAGCTATGGCATGCAGATAGTTTTGACCACAGGCAGAATATGTTTTTTTTTTAATAATTATTTTGGATTATTTTTAACTTAAAAAAGTTACGGACAGCAGCTTTAAATACTTGCATTTCTGATTCTCCAGGTCTCTATGCAACAAATTATTCTGTGCCCATTAAAGTTGTGAATTATTAATGAAACAAATGCGGTTTTGAAACAATCACAATGGTAATTCAAAGTCCTTTACATAGAAAAGATTAAAATGATCAAAATAAATACTATATAAAACAGAAAGGGCTTCAGGTTGGGTGCTTTTGTGGAGTGGTTTATCCTCCTGCCTTTTCTTTCTTCACCTCGGGAGCAAATCGCTCGTTGAACATTAAAAAAAAATAAAAATAATAGCTAACACATCATAATTCTGGCACTGAATGTGCAATTGTGTTACATGTTCATATTAGAACCATTAACAACATTTACAACATCAAAATGATAAAAATTCTGGCACTAATTGGAAGAAAAAAATAAATCAAACAACAGGTTAAGGGAAATTGTATTTTATTAACAAGTGATGACCTGCAATGACCCTCTGTCTAACCCTCACCTAAGCTTTCACTGGAACCGGCCAATCAGAGCTCACCCTGGAAAGGGGTGAAAGTGCAAGTTCAGCCAAAAAGAGCACAACTGATGTCAAAGGTAAGCCTGAACAAGAACATGTTACATGGATTCAACAAGTGACAGTAACGATTTATATTGTTGGGGAAGATTTTTATCTTGAATAAATGCAGTTATTTTTATTTTGTGTTCATTTGGTGAAAAACAGGACAGGTCACATTATACACTGATCAAGTCATAAGAGTCTTCTTTCAATAAACAAATAATAAATGCAGCATTTGTGTGTTTTCTTTGTTTCAGTGTAAAGATGATGAGTGACGTCATCATGCAGTGATGCGGAGAGTTTCTATATTAAATGCTTTTTCGTTTGGCCAAATCTTAATCTTTATTACCTTTGATTTATAACAAATTAAAGCTTGTGGTAATAATTGACATTGCATTTATTTTTTCAATGTTTGTTTTCTTCTTCCCCGAGGCGACCACTGTGATGATGACTGTGGGTACACTTTAAACACTTGTGGCATCGTGAGAGGGTATGTCAGAGGAAAGGTATGTGCCAGCTAGGTGGTTACAGCATGGGGACTACAAATCAAGATGGCCACCTCGTCCCAGACTACAGTGACCAGATTCCTCAGCGGTGGGGACACAGCTGTTGCGAGTGAAGGAGGAAGCTGTTAATGAGCTGAGAACAGAGAGAGACTGTCTGTTTTGTTTGAGGAGCATAAAGTGACGCTGGAAGAGTTTTTGGTTATGAAAAGAACACTTTGGAGTTTTGAGTTGATCTATTAAAAGAAACCTGTGACTTGATCTCTGCCTGGACTCGATCTGTGAACCAACTCACACTTGGATGGTACCTTACCTCTCACGATGCCACACACTTTAAACATTAAACAGCGCATCTGTTATAGACGGAGATTATTGTGTGATGTGTATTTGGACAGATGTTGTATTGTGTTGTTTAGCAGGACAGCGAGCACACCTCTTCATCCGAGGAGCAGGCGATATTCCTCCTCATCCTCCTCTTCCTCCACAGGAGGGTTTTGATGAGGTAATGGACATACAGGTATTTAATTTAGGCTTCAAACTCTCAGATGCAATTGTGTTCACTTTTCATTTGATTTTTATTTCTCTACATTATTTTGCAGACAACGAAGAGGAGGAGGAAGACTAATCATTTATTTTAAACAAATATTTGTAAATATCATTATGATCTACTCTAATACATGTCCAAATCTGTCGAGGTTTTGCAGAGATATCTGTGTGTTATAGTGGTCTTATAAAGAATGAAATCAACTCGAAAGAACGCAATTCCAAAAAAATGGACATTTTATTTTGGGAATACGAAAGAAATATATACACAACAAACAAGAAAGAACTATATATAAAAACAGGAAAGAAGTATATACAGTTTTGGCCAACAGCGAGCAAGACCTGGCCTCCCCATAGGACTGTGTTCCCTGGTCTAGCGATCACGGTAGAGACGGAAATAACAGTACAGGTCTCTTTCAAGGCCCTGATGGACCAACTGAGGAACACAGGAGGAAAGATCTGCTTCATGAACCTTAAAGAGAGAGAAAGACATGCTTGTAAAGCCAGCCTATCCAATAATGATCAGTTTATAGTTACATGATGTGTTTGTTACGTTACACAGAGCCGACCTCATACAATACACATTAAAATATGCAAGCACAGGTTAACATGTGACCACAACACACAGTTTATCAATGAGAACCAAACCACGTTTCCTTTGAATCTTCTGTTAAAATCTGTTAAAACGGCAGGCAGGTTGGACATATAATTACTTGACATGTTTTATATAAGTGATTTCTTAAGTTTTTACGCCGTTATTTTGTATTGAAGTCTGTGGGGAGTCTAGTTTGTTTCCCCCAAAAGGGGGCGGGGACAAAATTGACAGTTAAGTTCCCGGATGTGGCGGTTGTGCGTATGCGCATGCGCACTCTGCATTCTGAGGAACGCCTTTGAGTCCAAACCGAAAGTAAAGACTCGATTCTGACGGATGTAAATTCACATTTCGAGGCCTTAAAAACTGACATAAATATCACATGACGGTAAGTTCGTTTATCTGATACTGATATCATGTCATATTATTGTACACGGTTTTCTGTTTTGCGCGCTTATCAGACGCAATGTTTAAATGTTAACGGCCATTTTAGGGAGTTGTGACGCATGTAAAGTGACGAGGCCAGTTTCATAAACAGCCGCTATATTAAGACTGTTTAAGAACTAGAGTGACCAACTATCAGTAACTTAGGGCTTACAGTCTTACTTTTCAGACTCAAATGAGAACAATCCACCTTTTTTATGAATTAACTAACTTAAATGTTATGATCATTCTTGAAGAAGAAACTAGACTGACTGTAAAACGGGTTATAATCAAATAACTGCTAATAGACACCGCTCTAACAGAAAACCCTTAATGCGCATCACGTGTTTACTCTATAGATATGCATGTTTGAATATATATATATATATATATGTGTGTGTGTGTGTGTGTGTGTATGTGCGCAGGCGTGTAGTCTTTCTTTTCTGAGTGACATCACCAAATCACTTATCTGGCCTTAAATATTCATAACACAGATTTTTTTTTGTTGCTTCTGTGTACATCCATGTGAACTGGAATCATTTTGACAACTTTTTATTTTTACAGAGGAACAGATGTGAACATTTAAATAAAATACAACAGCTGTGACTGCAGTCGAAGTGGAAGAGAGACACTCTGAAAGGTTTGGGAACCACTGTTATAAAATAGTTTAAATATAATATTATAATATCACTGCCATACAATAGTTTAAATATAATATTATAATATCACTGCTATACAATAGTTTAAATATAATATTATAATATCACTGCTATACAATAGTTTAAATATAATATTATAATATCACTGCTATACAATAGTTTAAATATAATATTATAATATCACTGCTATACAATAGTTTAAATATAATATTATAATATCACTGCTATACAATAGTTTAAATATAATATTATAATATCACTGCTATACAATAGTTTAAATATAATATTATAATATCACTGCTATACAATAGTTTAAATATAATATTATAATATCACTGCTATACAATAGTTTAAATATAATATTATAATATCACTGCTATACAATAGTTTAAATATAATATTATAATATCACTGCTATAATAGAAAAGAGAGAGAGCGGGGCACAACCGAACACTTTTAGACTTCCTCAGTTTGTGTAAATCCACTTGGGCTTCAGAATATTTATTGTTAAACACATTCATTTCACACGTCTAGTAAAATTATGTGTTTTTTTTTTCGTTAATACAATGTATATATTTCTTGATTTACCTTGAAAGCATGGAAGTGAAATGTGACAACATGCCCCATAGGTGGGGTACATTGTAACATGACCATATGACAGATTAAAATGTTATATAATATTAAAAATATATACCAGACAAACTAAAATATACAATCAATAAAATAAAATGATTAACTTTTTTATAGAAAATCATAGTTCTAATAATAATGCATTTTAATGCAGTGTGACAACATGCCCCACACCATTGGGTTTAAACCCGGCGAGAGTCTTCTGTTCTTAGATCAGCATTAAACAACTATATCAACTGTTCAATAACACACTGGGATTAACATAATATCACATTTGTCTGGTTTTAAATAAACACACAATATACTTCTAAAATCTAAAATACTTCTGTAAAATATACTTTTGCTAATGGTTAAATAAATGTTTAGTGATATCTTCCAAAGATTTTTTAATTCTGTATAATGTTGATATGGCAACTAGTACAGTAAGTGTCTTCATGTGTGTAAAGCTGTAAACTATGTGTGTTACAACGAGCCTGTGTTAGTTTGTGTCCCGCTCACTCCTGTGTTTGCAAAGATCAAGTAGACTTTACACACACTTTACTTTCATACACTTTTATAAAAGCAATTTATTGTAAAGTAATAAGTGTCTCACATCAGAGCCTTATTGTTCTGACACTGTCGGCCATATATTAGTTTTATTATCTCAGGGTTTTCCTGCATTGAAACATTTCTGTCGACTGCCGAAACTAATATTTGTCCCGGCAAAGCCTTATTTGATCAGTTATTGTGATTTATATGACTGATGCGCATGATAAAGGCCCCTGAAATATAAATGATTTTAGCTTTTAGTGTGAAACCGTAAAACTTCAAATAATAGTCTTTTATTTTCCCAAATGGCCGAACTGCACCGGCTTGTGTTTGAGACAGGCGTGTATATGAGACCGAGTGTTGAGATGTTGTTCATTGAGTGTAGGCCTAGAGATAACCATCGTCATTATGTGCTGAATATACATGAGCTTCTCCATGATTGGCTCCCTGGCAGGATCCCGGTTTGGTGAGATTGGTGTCCATCTGGGTGGTGAGCTCCTCCTCAGTGAGGGTATTGCTCTCTCCTAGGCGCTGACACAGAGAGCTTCGCTGAACAGATGTTAAATAGAGTTGAGGGCTGGGTGACATCTATCACGTTCGCTAGAGGACTAGCCTATGTGTGGAACCGCTGCTTCCCGTGGGCTCCCTTCACATGAGGCCAGTTTCACTGTAAGTCCAGTTTGTAGTGTCGGCTTGCTGTGCCATTCCTCTCCTATGGACTGGATACGTGTGTAATTCTTGCTCCAGTAGAGTTCCCATTATTAGCCGAACCCTGTCGAGTTCCTCCATGCGCTTCGGCTACGGACGTGGCGGAGTCGGGCCTATCACTCGTATACACTGGTGCTGGACATATTATCAGATTATCATCAAAAAGTTGATTTATTTCAGTAATTCCATTCAAAAAGTGAAACTTGTATAATGTACATTTATTCCACACAGACTGATATATTTCAAGTGTTCATTCCTTTTAATTTGGACAAATAATGAAAACCCCAAAATCAGTCTCTCAGAAAATTAGAGTATTGTGAAAAGGTTCACCTGATGCCACACTCTAATCAGCTCATTATTAAATTAACTCAAACACCTGTAAAGGCCTTTAAATGGTCTCTCAGTCTAGTTCTGTAGGCGACACAATCATGGGGAAGACTGCTGACTTGACATCAGTCCTAAACACAACCATTGACATATTGTACAAGGAGGGCAAGACACAAAAGGTCACTGCTAAAGATGCTGGCTGTCCACAGAGATCTGTGTCCAAGCACACTAATAGAGAAAACATGTGGTAGAATAAAGTGTACAAGCAATAGGGATAACCAAACCTGTATTGTGAACAAAACCCATTCAGAAATGTGTTGGAGATTCACAAAGAGTGGACTGATCTGGTGTCAGTGCTTCAAGAACCAGCACACACAGACGTATGCAAGACATGGGCCTCAGCTTTCGCATGCTTGTGTCAATCCACTCTTGAACAAGACAGAAGCGTCTCGCCTGGGCTAAAGACAAAAAGGACTGGACTTCTGCTGAGTTATGTTCTCTGATGAAAGTACATTTTACATTTCCTTTGGACATCAAGGTCCCCAAGTTAAAGTTTCACAGTCAGTGATGGTTTGGGGTGCCATGTCATCTGCTGGTGTTGGTCCACTGTGTTTTCTGAAGTTTACCAGGAAGTTTTAGAGCACTTCATGCTTTCTGCTGCTGACCAACTTCATGGAGATGCAGATTTCATGTTCCAACAGGACTTGGCACCTGCACACAGTGCCAAAGCTACCAGTACCTGGTTTAAAGACCATGGTATCCCTGTTCTTAATTGGCCAGCAAACTCACCTGACCTTAACCCAATAGAAAAGTGATGGTGTATTGTAAAGAGGAAGATGCGATACGGCAGACCCAACACTGCAGAAGAGCTGAAGGCCGCTATCAGAACAACCTGTGCTCTCATAACCCCTGATCAGAGCCACAGACGGACCGACTCCATGCTCCATGCTCATACTTTACAGTTGACCAACATTTCTGAAAATCCTTTTTCTGTATTGGTCTTGAGTAATATTCTAATTTTCGGAGATACTGAATTTGGGATTTTCATTAGTTGTCAGATATAATTATGAACACTTGAAATATATCAGTCTGAATGAATGAATATAAAATCCAAGTTTCACTTTTTGAATGGAATTAATAATATAAATCAACTTTTTGATGATGTTCTAATTATATGACCGGCACCAGTATGTATCTTTGTGTTGTTCTCTTGTGTTTCCATATGCAGGTCTGAAGTCAGTTTCTCATGATGGAGAACAGACAGAGATCTTCATCTCCAGACCCCAGCTGTGTGTCTATGAAGAGTGACAGATCCATGGGTCATCCTCCTAATATCAGTGATGAAGCAGTGACCTCTGACCCAGCTGTGTGTCTATGAAGAGTGACAGATCCATGGGTCCTCCTCCTAATATCAGTGATGAAGCAGTGACCTCTGACCCCAGCTGTGTGTCTATGAAGAGTGACAGATCCATGGGTCCTCCTCCTAATATCAGTGATGAAGCAGTGACCTCTGACCCCAGCTGTGTGTCTATGAAGAGTGACAGATCCATGGGTCCTCCTCCTAATATCAGTGATGAAGCAGTGACCTCTGACCCCAGCTGTGTGTCTATGAAGAGTGACAGATCCATGGGTCCTCCTCCTAATATCAGTGATGAAGCAGTGACCTCTGACCCCAGCTGTGTGTCTATGAAGAGTGACAGATCCATGGGTCATCCTCCTAATATCAGTGATGAAGCAGTGACCTCTGACCCCAGCTGTGTGTCTATGAAGAGTGACAGATCCATGGGTCCTCCTCCTAATATCAGTGATGAAGCAGTGACCTCTGACCCCAGCTGTGTGTCTATGAAGAGTGACAGATCCATGGGTCCTCCTCCTAATATCAGTGATGAAGCAGTGACCTCTGACCCCAGCTGTGTGTCTATGAAGAGTGACAGATCCATGGGTCCTCCTCCTAATATCAGTGATGAAGCAGTGACCTCTGACCCCAGCTGTGTGTCTATGAAGAGTGACAGATCCATGGGTCCTCCTCCTAATATCAGTGTTGAAGCAGTGACCTCTGACCCCAGGTGACACAAAATAACAGATATGTTAGGAATTATTAGATTCCTAAGTCAAGTCAATATATTTGACTTGACTTAGGAATGTAATAATTTACAAACGCCTGGTCATATGGGTTAGTGTGATTATGTAATTGAAAAGGGCTGTAATATAGTAAACATGTTAGGGATGTGCATCTCCATAACTGAGGCTGATGCGATGCGCATCTCGATGCATAGCCAACGATACGAAACATTAAAGATACAATGCAGCTACCAATGCGATGCAATACGGTTCACTACTATTACGATGCGATTTTGATTAGCTTCAGTGCGATGCTATTCAATGTAATATATACAATGCAATGGAGAAAAATATGATGCTATGAAATTCAATATGGTATAGGTTGTTAAATTCACAAAACCAAAAGATTCAATAAAAGCAGACATTATTTTCCAGTTATTTACATTATTTAACAGCTCACACTTTTAACAGCGAAACACTGTAAGGATGCTCAGAGATAAACAACGCAGAAATGTTCCATAAGTCCAGCGGGCTAATGTGATTTCAGCAGGCGAACTCAGGGAGCAGAAAGCAGGAGCTGTTTAACATAATACAAAATAAAAAAAAACTTTCACAAACAGGTCTTTCATAACTGTATGAAAAAAATACTAAATGAATGTAAAAAAAAAAAAAAAAAAATACAGTCGTGACCAGAATTAATCATACTCCTGGTAAATATGATAAATGGCAGTAAAAAATAAATACGCATTGTTTATCCTTTTGATCTTTCATTCAAAAAATAGGCAAAATCCTAACCTTTCGAGATTTATGCACAGCTGCACTACTTCCTGAACTTCAGCCAGCTCCTTGTTTCCTGTCTGCCATTATTGGACAAACTTGATTAATTCATGTGTGTCTGATTATTGTTGCCGTGACTACTGAGGTCAGGCACACCTGAATTAATCAATTTTTCCAATAATGGCAGACAGGAAACGAAGAACTGGCTGAAGTTCAGGAAGTAGTGCAGCTGTGCATAAAGCCCATTGAAAGTGGGGGGGAAATCACATTATAAAATAAATGTTTTAAACTAGGAGACTAATAACATGAGACTCAAAAACACACTGGATGCACACAGAGAGATGAGTCAGTTTTTATTTCTGATTTCACCTCAAATCTGTGGACAAACGTTCAGTGATGGAGAATGAACTGTGACCTCAATGTCCAGATATAAGAAACTTATTGTCTATCAGGATCTCTGGTGTCAGATTGAGGATGAGGATTTGGTGTCTTCCTCATTTCTTAAATCTGTTAGTGAGTTTGTTCCTGGTCTCTCATCTTTAGCTGCTCACTGGAGGATTGAAACACTGTTTTACTCTCATCTGTGTTTTTCTGATCTTCTGTTTTCTGTGAAGCTGCTTTGTGTGTTTTACTCTGTTGTTGTTGTTGTTCCAGCAGAGTAGATGGAGAGCGAAGCATCTCTCGAGGAGCCGCCTCAGTCTTCTGTCTGAACAACACTTTCACCACCGTCACGCCGTCCCTCAATAGACATGATCAACCAGTGAATGATGAACTACAGAGAGTCAAAGACCGACACAAAACCAGCATGAAGAGCAAGTATGAGAGATTATTTGAGGGAATGAATCTCCAAGAGAATGAAACCCTCCTGAACAGGATCTACACACAGCTCTACATCATAGAGGGAGAGAGAGAAGGAGTGAATGAAGAACATGAGGTTTTACAGATGGAGAAATCAGCCAGAACACAACACTCACAAGACACTCCAATCCACTGCAATGACATCTTTAAAGCCTCTCCTGAACCAGGACGCCAGGAGAAACAGCAGATCAAGACTGTTCTTACTAAAGGCATCGCTGGAATCGGGAAAACCGTCTCTGTGCAGAAGTTCATTCTGGACTGGCCGAGGGGAAAGACCATCAGGATGTAGATTTCATGTTTGTGCTTCCATTTCGAGAGCTGAACTTGATCCGAGATCATCAGTACAGTCTTCACACACTTCTGCTGGACTTTCATCCTGAACTTCAAGATCTGGACTCAAAGATGTATGAGGAGTGTAGAGTTGTGTTGATCTTTGATGGTCTGGATGAAAGCAGAATCCCACTGATGTTTTCAGACGCTCAGGAAGTTTCTGATGTGACTGAGTCTTCATCAGTGGGTGTGTTGATGTCAAACCTCATGAAAGGAGATCTGCTTCCCTCGGCTCTCATCTGGATCACCTCCAGACCAGCAGCAGCCAATCAGATCCCCTCCAAATACATCCACCGTCTGACAGAGATTCAGGGATTCAGTGATCCTCAGAAGGAGGAATATTTCAGGAAGAGAATCAGTGACGAGCATCAAGCCAGCAGAATCATCTCTCACATCAGAAGAGCAAGAAGCCTCCACATCATGTGCCACATACCCGTCTTCTGCTGGATCTCCTCCACTGTGCTTCAGGAGCTCCTGGAAAAAGATCTGAGTGCAGAAATCCCTCAAACTCTGACTGAAATGTACATCCACTTCCTGCTGATTCAGATCCACATGAGGAATCAGAAGTATGAAGAGAGAGATCCAGAGAACTCCTGCGCTCCAACAGAGAAGTGATTGTGAAACTTGCTGAAGTGGCTTTCCATCAGCTGATGAAGGGCAATGTGATGTTCTACGAGGAGGACCTG